GCCAACTCCATATTTAGAAATACTCCTTCCCAGCGTCATACATTTACCCACGGAAACAAGGTGAACAGAATTACCATCTCAATGAGTGAGCTTACAAATTCAGGCTTTCCACTGGAGATCCTAGAATCCGAGTTTGCCTTCTATAATGATGTTTGCCCGGAACCAGTTTATTGGGCTTAGCCCTCTAGTAGAAAGAGACTTTTCAAGCCCATGCCTTTTCCTGGACTTCTCTCTTACGGTATCTGCTCTATTTTAAAATCACAATATCTTAAAGAGCTTTTATTATCTTCTCTTTCGCTGTTTATCATTTGGTTGAAATTGATGAAATCTCTTACTCCTTACCCAGACTGCAACAAATCCAGCAATTTAATTTAAACTCTCTTAAGAATTGACATTCTTATCTTTCTTTCAGGACTATTCTATAGAAATTTATTTAACAATGACCACCATACATCCCAAATCCTCTGTCCTCTGAAGTACCCCAGTTGAGATTTACTGTCATAGTTGCTGGCATGGATGTGTCATTGTCCCAAGACATGTTTAAGCAGAAACTGTGGTTTAAGAACTATTTCCTCTCTCACCCACCATCATTAAAATATCCTAGAAATGCCTACATATCAAGGTATTTTTTGTAATCAGAAGATACATTTTAAAAACTCTTTTTAAGATCCGTTTTCAGATCAATTTTCAATTTGGAAAATATGGTTACCATATCACTGTTAATTTTCTATAGTCATTGCTAGCTTTCTGATTATGAAAATGTTAATTACATATTACCTTAATTTCAGAATTGAATGCAGTTTAGAAGATAAACCTATTATTCAGCAATGCTATAACTTCCCTAACATCCCATTTTAGCTGACTTTGTTTTTTTTTTTTTCATCTGTAAGGTAAGGAGCTTGAACTTCCTCATCTCCAGGGTCCTTCCTGGCTCTCAGGTTCTAGGTCCTACAGACCTGATTTCAGGCCTTCTGTCGAATGCACTTCTTACCCTTACTAAGCATACTTACCATGAACCTGCATCACAGCCAACCAGGATGAACAGAGCTGGGAACATGGCTGGCGTGCGTGATTCTGTCTTTGTTCTTCAGGCAGAAGAGCTGTCCATCAAGCTGGACCCCTACATCCGCACACAGAGGAGAGATTGGGATGGAGACGCCGCTGAGATGCATATCTGGCCCTTGATCAAACATGTGGAAGTGACTCTTCCCAAATCCGACCTGATCCCAGAAGGGGTCGTGCTGGTGGACATCCCAGGCACAGGCGACTTCAACAGCAAGAGGGACGAGATGTGGAAAAAGGTGACTGTCTTTCATAGGCTTAGTTCTCTCTTCCCTCAACTCCTCTACCCTTTCTCAAGCGACAAAGAATGGTCTGCTTTCAACTTCAGGGATTTTATGAGCTCATTGGAATTAAATTCTTCTAATTTCTATGTTGTAAGTCTCAGGGCCCTGGCAGGATATGGTGGCCAGTGGAAGTAGGGAGGGAGGAATTATAGGACGTGACTGTTGGAGCCGGGACAAGTGTGTGTGATGTATGAGAAAGATCAGCAATAGAGTGGCTTAAGAGGAATCAGAGTGACCAAGGACAGAGTGGAACTGGGAGGCCAAGTGTTGGGGACAAAGCAGAGGAGCTGCAGCCAGTCACCCAGAACCCAAGAGACTGCAGCTGTGTTGACTGTAAGCAGCATCAGCACAGAGCTGGAGGGCTGAGGAGGCTGGTGTGGCCGGGGCAGGGTGAGTCTTCCTGGGTGAATGGGAGAAGGAGCATGGGGTCGGTGGAGGAGGGAGACTATGGAAGACATGCCTGGAGAAGTTCCAGTTCTTTAGTACTACTGCTCCAGAGTTTGGCTTCCTGGGAAAACTTGCAGGAAGAGAGGGACTGGGGCATGTGATTGAGAAAGGGCACGGTAACAGAGGCGCTCTGGAGCAGAGGGTGGGAGGAACGCAGAAGCCCAGGAGCTGGAAGGGGACTGGGAGCGAGGACCCGCGTCAGTGAGTTGTGAGCAGCACAGCGGCTGCTGAAGAATTCAGTTCTTTAAACTCCACAGGTTTGTTTAGATGAATGTCTGTGTGCCAGGGGAGCTTGCTGACCACGGCTTCCAGTCACAATCTAGAGCAACCTCTAGCCTCTGCCCTGATTGTACAGATGAAGACATGAAGGCTCAGAGAGGGGAAGTCACTTGTCCAGGACCACACAGCCTTGAACTGGAGAGCAGGTTTCTTAACTTCCCTGCTGGGGCTCTGTCTACCCCACCTCCCCCAGGGCACACTGTACTTTATCCACCTCCTGCAGGAGGAAGGCAGTCCCTGTGTCCTTCCCCTTGGTCGGTGGCTCAGGCCTGGCCTTGTGAGCCTTAGTTTCTGTAAGACCTCGGGTCCTGGGGTGGAAGTCGCGAACCTTGGCTAGTTCCAGGTCTGGCCAAGAGAGCAACAGCCCAGGAAGGCTGCCAGGGCCTCTCCCTGGATGGAGCCGCGGCTGCAGCCAGTTCAGATACACTGGGCAGCTTATCAAAGCCGGCAGCTCTGGCTCAGAAAATGTGCTCTGAAGAGGTCAGGCTGAAGCGAGGGATGGTTCCCAGCGTGCTGTGCCTGGCCCGGCTCTCCTGCATA